AGCTGAAGGAGGTCGAGATGCTTCCCAACAAGGAACTGGCGCCTGATGGGAGGTTCAGAGGTTCGAAAGCCCCCTCGTCAGAAAACTCGGAGGATGATCCAGATCGGAAGAAAGAAGTGGAATCGGACTGAGAGGTCTGTGAGAAACCACTCTTGGTGTTCTGTTGGTTAGAGTCAAACTGGAAGCGACTGTTAGAAACTTGTTGATTGAGGTTGGACTGGAGGCGGGCATTGGAATCCTGTTGGTTGGATTGGAGACGAGCGCTGGAAACTTGTTGATTAGACTGGAGGCGAGCATTGGAGATCTGTTGGTTTGACTGGAGACGAGCATCGGACACTTGATTAGACTGCAGACGAGCATTAGATGTCTGTTGGTTGGACTGGAGTTGAGCATTGGAAACTTGGTTAGACTGGAGACGAGTGTTGGAAGTCTGTTGGTTGGACTGGAAACGAGTGTTGGAAGTCTGTTGGTTAGACTGGAGACGAGTGTTGGAAGTCTGTTGGTTGGACTGGAGACGAGTACTCAAAATTTGCTGGTCTCGGTCTGACTGGAAGCGGTCATTGGAATTCTGACTGTTCAGGCTTGACTGGGCACGGTTGTCAAAGTCTTGAGTGTTAACGGTAAATTCAGATCGATCATTGGAGTTTTGGCTGTTCAGTTTAGACTGGAAGCGGTTGTTGGTGTTCTGACTGTTAAGGCTAGACTGGAAGCGGTCATTGGAGTTTTGACCATTCAATTTAGACTGGAAGCGGTTGGAGTTCTGACTGTTAAAATTAGACTGGAATTGATCATTTGAGGTTTGACTGTCCAGTTTAGACTGGAAGCGGTTGTCGAAGTTCTGATTGTTAAAGTTGGACTGGAAACGGTCATTGGAGTTCTGACTGGACTGGAAGCCATCATTTGCAGTTTGACTGTTAGTTTTAGACTGGAAGCGTTTGTTGGAGTTTGGACTGTTGAAGCTGGACTGGAAGCGTTCATTGAAATTTTGACTGGACTGGAAGCGATCATTTAAGGTTTGACTGTTAATTTTAGACTGGAAGCGGTTTTCTGAGTTCTGAGTGTTAAAGCTGGACTGGAAGCGATCATTAGAGTTCTCATTGTTGGACTGGAAGACATTATCAAACTTGTTTAGATTACTTTCAGACTGGAGACCATATCTCGAAGTTCCCTCATTATAGTTAGACTGGAATTGGCTATCTGAACTTCCTTGGTTGAAATTTGACTGGAATTGCTGATTAGAATCATCCTGGTTGAACTTGGTTTGGAATTGGCTGTTGGAAAGCTCTTGGTTGAATTCTTCCTGGAATGGATTGGCAGAAATCTGTCGGTTGAAATTAGGTTGGAATCGGTTGTTGGAAAGTCCCTGGTTGAATTCAGGCTGGAATTGATTGCTGGACACGTCTTGGCTGAATCTAGGCTGGAATTGGTTGTTGGAAGACTCTTGGTTGAATTTAGGTTGGAATTGGCCAGTAGGAAGGTTTTGGTTGAAATTAGATTGGAATTGATTGTAATTCTCTTGGTTGGGTTGAAATTGATTGTTCGAGGAATCCTGGTTGCTGTTGGACTGGAATAAGTTGCCGGAATTCTTTTGGTTGAAATTAGTCTGGGATTGGTAGTTCGAAGTTTCTTGATCAAACTGTGGTTGGAAAACCTTTTTAAGATTATCTTGACCGTTAGAATTCTGTTGGGTGAAGCGAGTAAATGAACTTTGACGGTTGTTTGAGTTTGAGTATACATTACCAAAGTTTTGGAAGTTATTGTTTACAGGGGAAACTGATTCCAAGTTTCTTTGATTTGTGTTGGTATTCTCAAGGGAACCAGTTTGTTGCCTTGCAGACTCAAATCGATTTCCAAAAGTCTGTCCTCTAGTTGACACAATTTGACTGTCAGAAGTTATTTTAGCCGTTTGACTCTGTCGTTCGTAATCTCGCTCACTGCCGGTAGTTGAAACAAAGGAATTCTTCTGGTTTTGCTGTAGCGATTCATCCTGGAACTGTCGGCGGGCAGTCCCAGTTACCCTTTGGAATTGACTATCCTTATCAAAGAGTTCGGATCGTCCGAAATTACTTGATCCGAATTGGGCTTCGTCTCTGTTCTCATAACTATCGGACGTGAAGGAATTACTCTGGAATCGACCTTCGTTATCGCGGAAGGAATCTTCGGCGAAACCCTGACCGAAATATCCGGGATCAGCTAACCTGACAGTGCTATCAAACTGTCTTTGTTGTGGGAGCTTGTTGCCAGTCGCTAATGCTACCAGCGTAACTGAAACCAAAAAAACAAACAAGCATATCTAATATTCAATTTAGAGAGTATGTATCCTAAAAGCACTAAAACAATATTTACATCCACAGATATTTCCTGTTCAGATATCCCGATATATACAGAGAAGTTTCAAAATTAGTAGAAACAAAATTATATACAATTCAAACTCACTAATAAGAACGCTCTTCATGACTGCTGGGTGTGGAGTTGCGTCTTGGTCTGACTTCTTTTCCAT